ACAGCCCACCTCACATGACGGGAGTATTTCCGATGAAACCAAATACACCATGTCTGCCCACTGTCCAATACTTCCGGCTAATTTAGTGCACCTAGGACGAATCGTCATGGTCTTGAGTAACATTTTGTTATTTGCGGCGTTGAGTGAATTCAACCTTGCCATCTGAGGCATCCTGCGGGTAGGTGAATGAGTGCGTTTGCATCTTACTCTGACCCATAACCTCAATGCGTGTGAGACGGTATTTTGCGTGCCGAGTTTCCACTGCCGAAATGTCTGTTGAAGACAGGATTTACTCATTTGTTTTCCAAGTCAATTAATGTAGTGTGAGACGGTGTTCCGCTGCCAACCACAAACCCCAATCACCGTAACCAGACTCCTGAGACGATTGTTCAGGAAAGATGTTAGACAGCTGATGCACGTAAACGACCTTTGGTTTGAAGTCACAGCCAAAACCACTAAGAACGCAACACGTTATGCTTACCATGATAGAATTGAAGTTGCTTGAACGTGACAACAGCGCTGCCAAATAGACCGCACAAATTTTTCCTTGTGTTAGTTTACAGAAATTAGGAAAACTAGAAAATATCACATGCAGGTAGTGGGACAATTGTGGAGTCGCTTGCAATTAGCACGTGGTGTAAACGAACAATCAACCATTCTTCCTCGCGTTGAATCAATCATCACGCTGACGTCCTTACCCGGATTGAGCGAGTGTGTTTTCGATCAATTTGATTGGATCCTGCGTTCGTGAATTGTGACTGCCAATTCTGATGAAGAAGAGCAACTAGCAAGTCAGAAAATACAAGTTAAGGTAGCAAACGTCCTTCTTTGTATTTCCCAAATTGGGAACAAAAACAGCAACAACAACAGCAGCAGCAAGAAGCACGTGAGACGTCACACAGAAGCGAGGAGGGCTCTGTGTAGTGCCACATTGGAACCTGCGATGGAATCATGACTGAAATGGAATAAACCGTTCTCACGAATTCAGGCAAACACTCTGAGAAAACCACATTATGTCATCCATTTCAGATGAGTCAAGTCAAACCGCTGTTTGCTTAATTTACTTGACTTCTCATACAGCAGACGTGAGACACGTTCTCTGGTCATGAACACAGATGAGTGTGCCATTTGAAATCACCTGCACTGAGCTGATTTATGAACGAGAGATGATGCCGCAGTACAATCGCCTGTGTTGGTGTTATCTTGGCGGAAGTGAACAAGCCCATATTGAAAAATAATTCAGGCCGTTTTGTCACGCTATTCTGGGTGTCTTTATTGTGACAACTGTGAAACCAGTTGTGAGATTCCTTTTGAAGTAATGTCGATGATTTTTGCATGACTGTGAGGCGTGGATCATCGTTGAAGTTGGGTTATGCTGAATCATCTAACACAACTTATGCCCTCTTAACTACATCAGAATCATACAACATCCCTGGCGACGTGGTCGCCACTGACTTCATTCTATGCTGTTTTTTTCCACTTAGACTTACCTTATAGAACTAGAAAAGATAGAACGCGATGTTTTTTCATGCTGGTAAATTGAGTTAGCGGGATCGGTGCCAAAATGCAACAATATGAGTGATGCGGTATTGCCATCAATTTCGTGATTTGTGCAGGCTAAACAGCACATCATTTTGATCAAACAAAAACTCTTACGATGACAGGCACTCTATTAAACGACAACAATTAGGGTCGAATGAAATCCTTGTGTCTGAATAGTGACTTGGTTTGAAGTCTCTGTTATCAAAAGTAACCATCATTCATCAATATCCCTATTGTCTGCCGGTTTACCTACAGCTACCAGTTCGTTAAGCAGTGTCACCCTTTGTGGTTATCTGTCCTTCAAACTGAACAAACTAAACTCGGTGAAACGTCAACCGTGCGTTGAAATAGTAAATCGGAAATGTCATCTGTGTTATCAAGATGGCTTGGGCCACATCGACAGAAGTTGGCATCCTTGTAGAAATGTTTACCTTCCCAAGATGCCATCCACATTATTTTGAAAAAAGACGTCAATTCCACAGCTGCAGCAGAACGCATATGTGAAGCAACAGGTGAAGTTGTCACCATTTCTGGCATCAATGGTAAGACGCCTTTTTTAAAACACACATTCGGGTCAAGTGAAATCGACATAAAAGCGGACAACTGCATCCAAAAATTATCGCCTATTGACACAATAACTTGACGATTATGTCTAGAAGAGTCGGGGTATATTGGAGTACTTATCAGACTCAATCTGCTAGAATTCTACACTTCAAAATCGAAACCATTTTAGTTGAATGCATAAGAATTCCCAGTTATGTTCAAAGTGTTCACTATGAATGACATCAAGCAGGTTTCTCAGACATGTGGGTTAAATGACTTTTTAGCGTTTAAGAGACGAAACATTTAGAAACAAACACAACCCTTGGGGAATTCAAATCAAAGAGTTAGTTCAAACGCAAAATGAGAAAGATGGCAGACTACAGGATTGAGATGGGCGACGGGATCGTGGAAATGGAGGTTGTCGGCTTCATATTGTGCATTGGTTTCTGTGGCACCAGTAACCTTCTGGGCATTTGCTGCAACTGGGTCCAGGTTCGTATGGATTGTCGCCATATTTAAGGTCACTGCAACCAATGGTATTCGGCGTTAGGTAGTGCCTGTCTAATGTCTTTAAATGTAATCAGCTAGACTCACCTGGGTTTGTACAGACAGAGCAGCAGATGTGTGGGTTTTGTGAGATCATTCTTCGCGTTGCATGTTCCCTCGACACATCCAACTTCCGTCGATGTCGCCCACACCATCTTGCCGACACGACGCACAATGCAGAATTACCAAGTTAATTTAAAAGTCAAGTTTTCGAGTGCTTATGGATGTGCAGTCTGAATGCTTAATATGGTAGAATTTGAAAATATTTAAGAATGATGGTTTGTTGTGATATCAGGAAGAGAGGTTAACCTCACCTGCTTGTAGTTATGGCAATCGTCATCACAATTGTCCTTTTTCGAGTCGAAAGATGTGCTGTTTACCTCGCACAGGTCACGAAATTGTGGTTTCACGTCTTGTGATGCCATTGTAACCACACCGACATTTTGATATTTTGGATCTGATTCTTGAAAGGGCTGATCACAGTAGGTGAGCGATTCCTGCGCCAGCTTCTCCATTTCCAATGAGTACGCCTAAATGAGAAAAAAACAGGAGCAGAATGATAAACTACCTGGTCGGCAAATGCTAAAATAAACTTAGATCAGGGCATTTTCACGTCTGCACAAAAATCAGGTGAAGTTACTTAAGCACACGGTAGTGCAACACGAGAATAATAATAATCATGAACATACCAGGAGTCGCATGTTGCTGGCAGGTGGCTGGACGCTTTCTCGCAGTTTCGTGTGGCACTCGATGATTGCGTTGCGTTCTTCCGTCGACGGAACCTCGGCCTGCGCATTCAGCGCTAACGCCAGCAGCATCAGGCAGATGAGCTTGTTCATCATTTGTGAATTTGGAAGATGTCAGCGAGTACTGTTGCAACGCTACCAGAGGATTTGTATCAAACTGAGAATGTGTTTGCTGCGATTGAATAAATGGCGTTTATATAGTTGCCTGCGAAATCAGCTAATCAACAAGCGAAAACAACTAATTAAGTGGCGAAAACGGGCGTGGCACCATGCATTGCTACCCTTTCATCTGCTGTTGCTGTTGATTTCGAGAGGTAGCTTGCTGCCCACAGATGTTATTCCTCATCTACTCATTGTTGTTCCTTATTGCCAAGTATTTAGCGTCTAAGACGCCCACTTCTGATACTTGTCAATTATACCTTGTATCACCACAAACCGCCACAGTTTTCAAATGTGCACATAGATAAACGCAACATCCATTTCAGCAAAGTAGTGCTGCGTTTGTTGACGCTCGTAACTCCTTTCTCACCAATTTAGATTGCAGACGATGTACATTTAAGGACGGTTTAGATAGATAGATTTTAAATAAATTTAAACTGTCCGCAATTACTACATTTAAAACTGACGAGACTAATCCTAGGCCACACAACCAACATCATCTAAATTCCTATTGGTTAGTCCTCATGGAAGGTGGATTGAGTGGCTTGAAAAACGATTTATCATATAGCAATTCGTCTGGAAACCTTGGTTGTTGAATCGTTTTTTCCGACGCTAGATTTAAAATGCAGATTTCGTCCGTGTCTTGGTTCGATAGGCGGTTACGTTCGTTACATAGAGCACGTTACTACCACTCAGTCTCCAATGGCTGACCTGATTTGGAAGAATCCGACGAAACTAACACTCACCAATAGGGTTAATAGAGCATTTCAGGTTGAAAGAACTGCTCTCGTAAGTGTCATTGGGAGGAGCAAGCATTCTACAACGAGAGCTGAGATCCATACAGCACTGTATGTCACTAGCAGATGCCTGGTTCTCGACACCGGTTAGTATCTTCCATAATTGCGATGGCTGCATCTGCAAATAGCTGGTTAGAAGCGTTTTCTTTTCGACCCCGGCAGTAGTGGCGTCGACTGCCAATGGGCCCTTAAACCGCCGCCTTTTCCTTCCTGACAAGTCAACAGGTATGCGAT